CAAAACTGAATCTTGCAGTGTCATTTACTGGGTTATAAAATTGCTGCAGGAGGCAGCTTTACAAATCCATGTGTCCCTCTCTGGAGCACACACTAAGGCAGTGACAGTGTTTGGGGGTGCTGGTGATATGTTTTGAGCTCAAGAAGCCCCTTGTAAGGGGCAGGAGTCTTCCCTATGTGTCCCCAGGGCACCCAGACCCAGTGTGTTGCTCTTGGCTTAGGCCAACACAAGAGGTTTGAAACGTGCAGAGCCGCGATAAGGAGAGTGGAGACACCCAGACCTCGCTCTCCCCCTGCAAAGTTTTGTTTCCCAGGCTGGTGTCTCTGCTCTGGTGACATCCCCAGATGCCCTGGGACCTTCTCCAGGGGGTAGTTCGCGCAGGGTGCTGCATTTAGTAAGGAAATGGAGTCAGTGTGGAAGAGGAGCATGGACTCCTGGCAAAGAGGATCCCACCTGGGAGCGGGGCCCCTTTCACAGCAATTTCTGCCTTTTTTTCTGTGCTCCCACATCACATTGCAGCGGCCAGGGGCATGTGGGGGCTTGGGGTGACATGGGACGGATGGCCACACGCAGCAGCGAGCGGCCCCGCAGCTCCAAGGGAATCCTGCCCCGCATTCCCACGCGGCCGCAGGGAATGGCAGGAGCCTCCGAACTCGCCTTGGGGGTCTGGGGTCTGTCCTGCTCCGAATGGTCTCACCTCCAAAGGGGAGCACTGCAGGGGCTGTCTTGCCTGTCAGGTGAATATCATGGAATACCACGTTGGGAATAGCGGCATCTGCCTGAGGAGTTGCTTGGAAGCAGCCCTTTGGAATAGCTCTCCTGTTCATAGACGTGTGCTAGTGAACACCGGTCCCAAAATACACCACAGTGCCTGAAACAGCTGTGCAGGAAAAGATTTTTTTTTAGGTCTGATATGTCCCTGAATTCAAACATTATTTTTCTTCTTTAAACAAAAATAACCATTTTGATATCCCAGTTCTGCTGTATTTGGTGCAAGGGAACAAATTTTAATGAAAAAGGGACTTACATGGGAATAAACATACTATAATGATTGACAAAATTCATTTCCACTTTACAAATGACTGCAGCAGTGGCATTTTCTTGGGCTTTGTACATTGACTTTTTAATGTTTGACTGGCATCTTTTGAAATAACCAGTGATTGTAGAGAGGATCGGTTATACTTTTAAATGCACGTGGTGGTTTTCTTCTTCCAGCTGCTGTTTTTCAGCTGCAAACGGGTTCATTTGGGAGATCTCCAGTAGGTCACCCCCAGATTTGCCCTACATTTTATAAAAATCCAGCAAGAACTTTTACACGTGTTTCCTTTAGTGAACATATCTGTCTGGAGTGGGGTTTTTTTTAGAACTGTGTTTTTTTTTTTTTTTCCACAGACATTCCTTTTAAGCTCTTTAATACTTAAAATATTTTTCATTTGGCAAATGCTGAAACATATAAAATCTGTGACTTAGAAAAGATAGATTGCGGATGGGGAGAAGGGTGAAACTACAACAAATCGGATGAAGAAGGATGGTAGAAATCCACTGGGCTGTGGGCCAGGGAAACAGGGTTATTTTTATTTTGTTGAAGCTATTAATAGAAGGTGAAAGCACCTTGCTGAGAGCTCGTGTATTAACCTTTCTTTGCAAAAGCGAGTCCATGGAATAACGTCATACACTCGGTTTCTCTCAAGTAATTACTAATATCAACTCTAATACTTTTAAGGGTCAGATTTATTCTTTATTGCGTTCCTATAAATCAGCAGTATGATTATTTATATGTTTTACAGAGATCAAACACTGGAAGTCATTTTTTTTCTCACTAACTTTTATAAATCAAGCTGTAAGACATTGTTTTCCCCTAACTAAACTTGTGTGATTCCTCTCATGTTTTGTGATGAATTTGGAAGTGTATTTATAAAAAATAAATATTTTTCTAACAGTCTCCTATTTTTTTTTCCAATGATTGTTTGTCATGCTGTTTCAACGTAAGACTTGTTGGTGTCTTAATTTTTGAAGTTGTGGTTGTTCTAGGAGCCCCGGGCAAGGCCCTGCTTTGTCAGCTGGGCAAGGGGAGCAGTGTGGGATTTGAAGCAGATGTTTCTTTGCTGCAGGGTTGTTGGTCCCTCCGAATGCAGCAGGGTTGGAGAGCAGCCCCCTTGCAGAGCGTCTTGCTGCTGCCTGCAACAAATATCGTGTTGTTGGGCTGCTCCTCGGCCAAGCGCAGCGCTCCGCAGGGTTGGTGCCGCTGCACGCAAAATAAGGGATGGGAAAAGGCGGCTAAAACGGAGCAAGGAAGGAGGAGGGGGGAGATCGCGGCCGCCTTGTGCGGCGGCTGCCCCTGCATTGCGCCGGGCCCTGCAGCACCGCAACCGCTGCGGCGGCGGCGCGGGCTGCGCCGGGCCCTCGCGCCTCCCCTTGGCCACGCGGCTCCGCGGAGAGGCATTTCCCGCAGCTGCCGTGTCCCGGAGCAGACGTGCCCTCATTTTTTCCTTAAACAGGGCGCTCTTTCTGTAGGCATCTCCTTATCCGCGGAACAATCTGCGCCTGTGTGAGTGATGTTTGGCACGGAGCAGCGCGGCTGCTGCCCGGGGGCGACCTGTGTGCGGAGAGCAGCTGCCTGCAGGTCCCGTCGGGCACATCCCAGCCTGTTTTTAACAGGGTGCCGGCGCTTCCATGCCCTGCATTTCCTTCCCACCCGTGGGTGCAGCAGCTCCATGGGTGCCCTGCAGTGTCCTGGCTCCCAGGGAGCCATTTCTGGGGATGCTTTTCCCGAGTTTCCCTCTGGAGCAGCGAGGATGCCCTGGAAATGAGCGTGTCGGCAGCAGAGGGTGCTGCCTCCTCGCGCTGCCGGAGCCGTCGGGAGCCACTTCCAGAGGCACGGAGAGCACAGCCCGGCCTCCAGCACCGCCTCCGCCTTGGCATCACAGAGAAGTGAGAACTGATGTGCATGGACACATCCCGCTCCCGAGCAGGCTGCTCTGCACTAGTCTCTTCTCCGGAGCATGGGAATTTGCGGGTTTGCTGCCCCATCTTCATACTGACCCGCAGAATGCAGAGCAATTCCTCCTTTTCCAGTAAGGTCTGCCAGCCTGCTGCTAACAGGGTGACAATGCCAGCAGAAAGCACATGGACAAACCTGTTCCTTCTGCAGAGTCTGTGCTTTTAAGAATAATTTATATGTTTAACCTCAGGCCTTCAAAAAGGCCCCATTTTCCAGGAGGAAGGTGCTCAACCCCCAAGGAAGCCAGAATACCGAGTGTTGAGCATGGCAAAGGAGGCCTCCCCCGTCCCTCTCTCCCCTTTTGATATTAGTAATTTGTGCTTCTTAAGGAAGCAGGGGAGCCAAATACGAAGGAAATAAAGTGCAATAAGATTCTATGGGAGCTGGGACCTCCTCTGGCAAGAAGCCAGCGCAGAGCTGAGCAGTTCAGCTGCAGAATTTGTCATGTCTGGTTTCCTCCCACCTCCCCAGAGCCATCACCACCCAGCCCTGCTGTTTCACCCTTCTCCCTGTAAAAAAAAAAAAAACGGGATTTCAACAAGAGCAGGAACCAGCCGATAACACCGATAATAAGGGCTGTCACATCCAACTCTGTGGGAGGAGATGGGTTTCCAACAAAGGGTTCTCAGTGAGCCCTCTCCTCCCTCGTGTCCTGCAGGATTTGCAGGACATTAGCGCTATGGGGCTGTTCCTCGCACCAACTCTGTGCATAGGATGTGGGTGACAAAGCTTCTCGCTTCCATTTACAGGGGATCAAAAAGGGATCAACCACAGGGTACTTGTGAAGCTGTTCCAGTCTTGAAATGTAATGTGGGAGCCT